GTGAGAAAGGACTCAAAAATGGGGCGAAGGGGAGGTGGGGTACACCGAGGTCTGTGTCTGCTCACTTCTGCCCTGCGGAGTGCAACACGTTTCATTTCATGAAGAAACTTCTGACTCTCCTCCACTACTTCACCCCACCTCCCCACCTCCCCCTACAACATCTCTTCTCTTAGAAATGGCCTCAGAGATTCTGAAAGGTGTTTTCCTTACTTCTGAGCCCGCCTGTGTGGGAGGAAGCTGAGGGCATGAGGGTACTGATGGGGAGAACAGGTTGAGACCCAGGAGCTGCTGTGCAAAAAGAATGGCAAATTATATCAAGAGTGAAAACGGAAGGAGGTGGTGAGGCAGCCATTCATCAGTGCTTTTTAACCCTTTCCTGACACTGGGAGATGCTGCAGCGAGAGGCATTTTCATAAATGGTCTGTGCTGAAGGCTTTGAAGGGGGGACGGCGCCGCTCCCTCCTCGCCCTCTGCACAGGCTTTGTACTCTGGGTAAAACCGTCGGAAAAGGTAGAACGGCTCCTAATCTAGGAGATGATTCCTGTGGGAAATCAGGCTGCTTTTCAAGCATAATTTGAAAAGCCGCTGCCTCCAAACTTCAGTGGTGGTGGTGGTGGTGGGGGGTGCCAAGAGAAGAATGCCATTTATAAAGCAATCAACGCTTCGACAGAGTCAGCCATCACTCAGAATTATTTTCCGAAATTTGGCCTCTATTCCTTACTCTGGAGGAAAGGCAATATGGGCACTTTGCTTCCAATCAAGCCCGACACAGAGGCTGGGGTAAGTCACACAAAGGCAGAGGGACCCTGCACTGCTCATCACAGCTGGAGCTGTGGAAAATCATTTCTAGGGCTCTCAGCTCTCCAGAACGAGCCAGAGGAAGCCTCATCAGAGGTTCCATTCATCTCACTTCTTACTTTTAAACTTTAAAGCACATATTTATGTGCCTCAAGTTGCCCATGAACCACGGCCTGTCAAACAGTTTGGGGCTGATGGAAGAGGTACATTTCCTCGTCCTGGGACTTTCAGAAACACAATTTCATCACCAGTCTCCCTCCCTGCCAATTTCTCCTGTGTGCTTCCACGAGATGAATATTCCTAAAATGCTGCTTTCAGTATATTACTCACCTGTTCAAGAACCTTCCAAAGCCACTTCTTGATCCCCAGGTTGGCAGTCAAGGCCCTCCAGAAATGTGGCCTCAGAGACCACAACCTCCTAACACACCATCCCAGACTGCCAGGCCACACTCACCACGGGCTGCAAATATAGGGTGGTGGATGCCCGTCATTTTTGCCCCTCCCCACCCTGCAGCTCTTTTCCTGGGAACCAAATGCAATGCTTCCTTTTGGGGAAAGCCCTCCACGCCAGCTCTCTCTCCATGTGGTTTGGGTGAGCTGAGCTGACCTGACCGCCTGCCCTCCAGGCCTGCCCATGAGAATGCTGTAGATCGGGGTCGGCAAACTAACGTCCAACGGCAAAAAAAATAGCCCCCAGACTATTTGGTAAGGCCCTTGAGCTAAGAATGATTTTTACATTTTTAAAAGATTGTAAAAAAATCAAAAAAGAAGATGCCATGGAGACCCTGTGGCCTGCAAAACCTAAAATAGTCACCATCTGGCCCTTTACAGAGCAAGTTTGCCAACACCTGCTTGGACGCACAATGCTTGGTTTGGGGCTGAGCTGAGGAGCGCAAATGCTGGGACTTGAGCTGGAGCCGTCAGAAGGAGCTCTCCTCCTGACTCTCTCCCAGCTGTGTTAAAATGAAAGAAGAGAAGCCTGGAACCAACGGTGGCCATCTTTGACACTTTATAGAGAGAGGCTGCTAGAGCAGGAAGCCAGCACGGGGGAAAGCAGAATCAAAAGACAGAGACTGGCTGTGGGCTCTGGAGCCAGCTGGGCCTGTTGGTTGTATGAGCCAAGACATTTCTTTTTGCTCCAGCCAGTTTGAGTTGGGTCTCCCGTCAGTTGCAACTGAAGGCCTTGTGATGAGTACAGATATTGGCAGGTATGCCCGGATGCCTCTGGGCTTGTTATTTTCCCTGTCTGGAATGCCCTTTACCCTCTCTGCCTGCCAAAAGTCTGCTTGTGCTACTGACCTTACCTCCTCCTCTGCTGTGGTCCCTTTAGTTCCTGGGGGTTCATTCTGAGATTTAACCATCTACTTCCTTAGCTATAATTGTCTGGATCCCTAACAAAGCCATGAGCCATGGGGCCTGGAGGGGGGAAGGAATGCGCATGGTCGGAGTCCCAGGCACCATGCTAACACCATAAGCACTACAGCACTCATTCCTCCTGCCGCAGCCACGCAGAGAGGCAAAGACAGCAACTCCGTTTTAGAGGAGGGAAAATGAAGTGAGTCACCCAAGGTCACGCAGTTACTAAGAGGTAGAGTCAGAAATCAGTCCCAGCTCTGATCAACTCTAGATCATTCATGTTCTCTCCACAAGATGGTGCCTCCTGAGGACATCCAATCCTTCACAGGATCCCCTGGACCCAGCTCTACCCTTCCCTGAATCCTCCAGGAGCCTTGCACTGCCTGCAGATCAGAGCTCAAACATCTCAACCTGAAATTCAAGGCCTCTCAGTATCTGCTTTAATCCCTCACCTACCCCTAACTCCAGCCAACCACCACTCGGAACGCTGGTGCCCCCTGAATGAAAGGAGAAACTCTCATTGCAACAGCCAGTTTTAACAGGGGGAAACGATCACTTTGTGAAGCCTACGTTAACAAGGACTAGATTGAGTCAGCCGGACAGGTTCAAAATTAAAGTTGCCTGAACATAATAACAACTGGAGAGGCATTCTAATTAGTTTTTTTTTTTTTAATCAAGTGCAACAATCTGCCTGCAGGAATCTGAAAGCAACTCAAGATGCCTTAACTCTTTGAGGAACAGATGGGTTTTTGGAATACCACAGCACATCCTCCCACGCAGATTACCTCCTGGCGAGCTATCCCAGAGCCCAAGTTGTATCACGGCACAGGATGTATGTGCAGGTTGCCCTGCCACTCGGTACACCATCGCGGCCTGCCACACTCTGGTGCCCCGGGAAGGCCAGCTACTTTAATCTCACTGGGAGCTGGGTAATGCTGACAAGTCACGCCACCTCTCTGACTCGTTTTCTCATTTGTCAGGACCTGGAGATTGAATTAGCCTATCACTTTGTGTCCCCAGTGGAATTAGAAACAATGCTGTGAATCCTTTTACAATCCCCTCAATTAGAGGGCATTTCCTCCCTTTCCCAAAGGAAATCATCCCAGGATTTTAAGACTGGATGAGAGTGGAGTGATTATCTCTCTCTTTCAGGGGTTCTTAACTTGGGGTCCCTGTGGGGTCACAGGTGAAGTCTCTGGAATTGTACATAGAATTCTGTGAGGGCAGCCACGCAGACCCAGCAGATGAGGAGATGGTGCCTGACTGCAGGCTTGAAGGATGCAGGGGAAGAGGTCTTCAGATTTCATCAGAGTCCTGGAGGGGCCAGATTCCCAACAGATTAAGAGCTCTCTCTCTGGCCCATTCTCTCCACTTGACAGGTGGGAGAACTGAGGCCCAAAGAGCGGGGGCACCCCTGCTGACTCACTAGCAGAGCCAGACCAGAAGCCAGGCTGCTGCCACCTAGACCCGAGCTGGACATCCCACTGCCCTTGCAGGGAAGACCCTAAAAGGAAATGAATGGGGCCTCTCTGGAACTGGATGGGGACCTTGCTCCAATATGTTCCCCATGCCAACCACCTTCTGGATTCTTTAGAGCTTGGGGATTATCTACGTCACTGGAGGAATTATCTGGATGGTGCCTCCCCACGCATCTGGTGAGGAAGCATTCATCATTCCTGGGACCCTTTACCCTTTACACATGGGTGTGTGTGTGTGTATGGGGGGGTGGGACCCTTCACACATGAGGTGTGTGCGCGCGTGTGTGTGTGTGGCGTGTATCTAAATCTATATAGTCTTTGTGTTTTAAATCCCCAGCTAGAAAAATCAAGTATTTACCCTGCTTTTTCTACACATGCTCTCTCAAGGTTACCGCATGATTGCTGAAGGAAGGTTCTCTTGCACAAGTACTCTAACTAAAGGCAAGTTGACTGGTGGGACCAGAACAGCACTACTTTGCAATCCCTGATGAACGGGCAGATCCAGAAGGGATCACCAATGGCTGCCAACATCACAGGAAGAGATCAGACATTACACTCCTCTGATGGAAGTAAATACCACCACCTATGGAGGAGTGTTGACAAAAGACAAAAACAGAAACAAAAAAATCAAACCTGATCAAGCCTCTTACTCTGCCTCCCCACTTACAGGAAATACAGGTGACAGGAGGAGCCCATGAAATGACCCTACAGGGATGTAATCAGTAAATCCAGACTGCGGGAAATGCTGTAGGATAAATGACCTTGTTTCCTCGGCAAAAAGCTCACAGGGAAAAGAAGAGAGAGGTGCAGCAGGAATCTATAAATTAAAAGAGATTTATTAAGGGACATATTGATAACAGTAAAGTACATACCTTATTTGGATCCTGATTCAAACACACTGGGGGAATTTAAACACTGACTGAATACAATATTAAAGGACCATTGTTAATTTTTTTATGTGTGATAATGCTATTGTGGTTGTACATTTAAAAAAAGGTTTGGATATGACATCTGGGATTTGCTTCAAAATAACCCAGAGGCTGGGTGGGGCTGGGGAGTAAGTGGGGAGGGGTACCCACAAAGCAAGGCATGCGCTGGCACCTGGTGCAGCTGGGTTATGGGTACATGGGGCCTCAGGATACTATTATCCACAATGCAAAGTTAGAAATTAATCTCCTACCTAAAAGGTATCCAAAAAATCTTGATGAGCGTCTTTGCCTTCGGGGAGGGGAGACCGACTTTTCACTGTTTCTGTTTGGGACTGCTTGGATTTTAGACCACGGCTCCATATTATCTGTTCAAGAACATAACCTCATTTTTAAAAATCGCCCAATTTAAGTAACAAACTTCACAGTGAGCTCTTGACCATACTTTTCATCCAAGAAGTGCCTTTATTTCATTTTCTTCCAAAGAACAGGCTAGGTGCAACGCGTCAGTTCTGTCTCATCATTCGAGGGGAGGGAGGTGTGTCTGTGATGCAGGGCCGTTCTGAAGACTCAGATGCTGATACTTCCTCGTGGTCCTCAGGCACTCGGAGGACACACATGATGTGGAGTACAGGCCCACGCGTCCTTAAGCTCTCCGGTGTGGGGAGGGCTGTGAGGCAGCTGGGGCCGCAGAGGTGGTAAACTAAGGAGTTAAGCCCTTAGAGCTGCCAGACAATGTCATTTGGAAACACCAGGTATGAAATATAAAGAACAGTCAGCTACTTTCCTTCAATCCAATTTCTAAGCATTTGTGTGATCGATCAATTTATAAATTGATCTGTTGTCTAACCCACCTTCGAAGTCTTCTCTGCTGCTGCTGCCCCACACCCTAGGAAGGGAAAGAGGGGGAGGTGACCTCCTCTGGCGCCTGCTTGCCTGTGGGAGAGGGATGGGGTCACGGCAGCTCCTGGAGCAGGCGGAGCACGTTCGTGGAGTATTGGTTCTGCTGCCCAGTGGCCCCCCGCAGCTGCACAGGGTGGAGGCTGGGATGTGGGGGTGTGAACTTTGTGGGACAGTAAAGTTCATTCAGGAGGAACCAGGTGGAGTCCGGGTCTACCTTCATCAAGTGGAGGAAAACGCTGTGGAGAGACGCAAAGTAGTGAGGGGCAGGAAGGAGGAGGGCTGTCAGGGTTCTACCCAGGAGGCCACTGACTGGGCTGTCTGGGAAGAAACTGATGATAATGTCAAATCACTTCAAACAGAGAACAAACTCACTTTAGTTCATAAGAGAGGGCCATTCAGATGGTCTAACAGAAATAGAGGTAGAGTTTCATACCCACTGACATAGAGAAGAAAACTAATTAGTCTGAGCAGAACAATATTGACATCACACAAGCTCTTGGCAAAGAAACCAGTTAAGTTCTGGGGTGTAAAGCAGGAGTTTTCAGAAAGAAGAAAACACACAGGGCTCCCCCGTTCATTACAAGCTCCACTCAGCTCACAGGACCAGCCCCAGGGCAGGGGCTCCCCGTCCTGCCTGGGGAGCCAGCGCAAGCCCACAACCTCTGAGGCTCCAGGTCCATCTCTGGTCCGGCTCCAGGTTCATCTCTGGTCCAACTCCAGGACCATCTCTGGCCCTCCAGTTCGCTGGTGAACTCTGTAGTTGGCCCCTTTCTGGCCACCAAGAGCCATGGACTCTTGGTGATCTGGATATGTTTGTATAGGGATTAGATCCAGTTATTCTCCTAGGGCAGGACCACCTGAGCCCTGCCCCGTGACCTTTGGCAGAGGCAGAACACTGGTGTCCTACACATGACATGGACAGAGCTGAAGGGCCCAATGCCATATACTCACCTAGGGTGAGGTTCTGTATCTTGCCTGAACTCTGGGGTCACAACTCTTGCTTCTTATCTGCTCATATCTCATTTCTGAACAATCAAACGTGCCCAGGACCACGGCACTGGGCAGTCCAAGTGTAAACTTCATACACCTGGCCGACTTGGCGATTCAGAGTCTTGTCTCTTCAACCTCAGGAAGGAGGAGGCCCTCCCCTAACTGGCTCCCTCTGGGCCATCCTGCCCATCTCAGCTCACACATCACCTGCTCAGAGAAGTCAGCCTTCCCAGACCATTTTGCCTGGGTGGTTGCCCCTTATTTTCCCGTTTCAGGACACCCTTCCCAGCACTTACCAGCCATCTGTCTACTGACCATCTTCCTCACAATACAAGCTCCCGAGGGCAGACACCTAGCACGGCACATGGTAAGCCCTCAACAAATACCTGATTGAACAGGTTCTTATATTTGATAAGTGACTTATTACGCGGCACACGAATGACTTAAGATGACATCCTCTCTGGAATATTTACATTCTATAAGAGGATCTAAAGGAGAGTTCGGTGCTCACCACCAAGGGAGGACTGAGGAACGTTACTAACAGGGTTCACATTCTCGCAGACATCACCAGCTCTGGCTGTGGGAGATTATTCAACCTGGTCTCAGTTTCCTCATTTCTAAAAACAGAGGACGTACTTCTCAGGGTTTTGCTGAGGTTTAAACGAGAAAACAGAGATGCAGCCCCGCCCGGCGCCTAGCACACGCGACCCCCATCTACTTGCGCGGACAGTACCTATCGATGGACCACATTCTACTCTCGACCACCACTCCTGGGAGCCTCCCTATACCACTGGGCATCAAAGGGGAACTTCAATGCTTGCTAAACGGAGCTAAACTCTGGTTTTTAATTTCGTTAATATGAAAAACCTGTGCCCTCAGGTGATTTGGGTCTTACCTCGGTGAAGCCAGTTTTGCTTTCTTCCTCGGGTTTAGCAGACACATGCTAAGGAGCAAGGGAGGCAGGTGAAACGGGCACTTTAAAAATTCTTCTAGCATGTTTTGTGCCTAAACAATTTAAGTTTTCATTACTTAGGATAATCTTATGTTTATAACCTCAGTGGCGGTTGCTGGAGAAGTGATTAGAATATTCTAATTCATCGTTTCCACTTCACCACAGAAAGGAGATGGGGCCTGTGTGGGAGACAATTTTTGTTTAAAAACAAAAATATCTTTGATAATTAGAGTGGCAAGGGAAACGATTAAAAAACACACCAAAATTGGGAAGCAGATTTCTATTTACATGTGACAGTTGACAGTTTTCCCTGGTGCCAAAGTCTGTTAAAATGCAAACGGTTTCCCTCTTTTTTTTTTTTTTTTTTTTGCCTTTCAAGAACTGGAACAATTTCTCAAGCTACAGCATGGCACACTCTCGGCTTCAGGGAATATTTTGATCTGGGCAACACACAGCAAAGTAGTGTCACCGCCCAGTTCAGCCATAGCTCTGCTCTGACTTACACGGTGTGAAAACATGGCAATGCTCCTTTTCTGAGTCCTTTTTAACATGCTAAATGCAGATGTTGTATTCGTTGGCAGGAAAGGAAAAGGAAGGAAGCCACTCTCTTTGCTCTGCAAGACCTCTAAATAAAATGCTAACAGGGAAGCAAAGGAAAAATGTGTGCAAAGTTCACCTTCTTTTATTAAGCAAGAGCCAACTCTTGGAAGAATTATTTTGGGTCTCATTTCTTAGCTCTTAAAGGCGTAGACTCTCCAGAATGGCAGGCAGCAATGCAAGTTCCTTCTCCCCACCTCTGTGGCTTGGAGCAAATTATTTTGCCTCCGTGAACCTGTTTCCTCTCTCTCCAGAGGAAGATGATCACACCTGCCCCACCCTCCTCACAGGTTTGTTCCTAGGCTCTAAGGAGGAAAACACTTTGAAGTGTATAATGAAAACACAGTTCCTTCCAGAGAGAGAGTGTGTGTGTCTAAGGAATAATTATCACTACCAACCCTAGCAGCATCGCCACGGCATGGAAAATTCCCAGACACTCTGAAAAGGGCAAAACATTTGTCTTTCGTTTCACTCATAATTTCCTTCATCCTGACTTGGTGTGGGTCCCAATTCTCAGCCAATGGGGGTTCTCATTTTGCCCATTATTTTCAGGAAGAAATGAATGCAGCATTCTTTGCCCTCTGCATGCCTGAGGTCGGGAGCAAATACCGTGCCATGCAACCATGTGCTGGCAGGCATAGCTGTGTTCTTGCTTGGGGAAAGGCACGCAACCCGCTGAACTCCAAATGCCGACAAATTCTGAACCTGGACCCTTGTTCGCCTGAAGCCCCTGGGAGCTGAGCCCGAGACCCAGGAGGTCTTGTCTGAGTGCTCAGCAGCCCAGCTTTGCTCCAAACTCTGGTACCACTGCATCCTGGGGCCAGTTCCTGCCTATCCTGAGCTGGGGAGAGGGGCTCCCGGAGAGGGACTAGCTGAAACCTGAAGACCTGGAAAGCCTTTTTTGCATTATCAAAAGCCAGAAGACAAAGGCAGGACCTTTGTTTTGAAGTGATTGGGGTAACTGCCTGGAAAATGTTCCAAATACATCTTGAGACACAGCAGAGATGGCTGCTGAACATGCCAAATGGCCAGCTCCATCTTTTTTCAAACACTTTAAAACACTTTAAAAAATATATATGTACACCATTTAACTCCTGAATAAAAATTTCTTTCTCCTTCCCCCAGGCCCAAATCAGTGGCTCCAGGGAGCACAGTTATCAAGAGATTATCTGGTCCCCAGAGCTTCGGGAGGCACTCAGCTGTGCCTCATGCCTCCGACTGTCCTGGGGCGAGTGATTATCTCTCAATAACCTGTAGGGCCGTGTAGCTTAAATGATAACTTGACTTTAAAAAATTTAGAACTCGCCGTTAGGCAGTATCTAAGCAACCTCTGTTTCCATGGCAAAGTAGCCTGGTGTTTATACTGATTTTTCACTTAAAATGCGGTTTTATTGAATTTCACTTCATACAGGCAGCCATTTCCCTGCACTTCAGCCCTATCTACAATGGGCAGGTATCAGTAAGAACCTAATAAACTCCAGACACCAAACCAACAGAAGCGGCTCATTCCTTTATGATCAATATTGGGATGCTCCGAGTGACAAACCAGGGGGTGAGGTGGCTTGGGAAGGTAGGAAATGTGCTACCAGAATCTGGTCAGCTAGCTGTGGGTCCCATCTCTTGGTAGTTTACTAGCACGTGGTCCAGCCCAGGCACTGTGCTGGGCACGTGGGATACAAAGACGGTTGGACAAAGGCTCTGGCCTCAGGACTCCCTGTCCTGGAGGACAGAGTAATTACAGAGGCCCACTATGCAATGTGGAGAGGGCCGTGCTAGAAGTCACATGGAGCTGGGGAAGGATACCTGAGGAGGGGACATCAGGGTGTATCAGATCTATTCTAAGGCCCCTTCCAGCTCCAACAGCCCACAGCAGTTCTCAAGCACGGGTGCTGGGTCACAGCCCTTTAACCCCCTAAAAGTGGCAAAACCAAAAAGAAACCCTTTTGCTGCAGACGCAAATATGACAGTGTGTCCTCACCATCTCGGTCTAGACAACATCTGCTCAAAAGGAGCTCTAGAAAGCTGCCAGCTGATCGAGGCCTAGTAAAGCTAAATAAACTGTAACTGAAATGCAGAGCTTCCAGCTCTCCAGGGTGACAGGCTATTCTTTCTCTGTCAATTACTTGCTTGAGGGATCTGCTGCTCCTTGTCTCTTTCTGGATTTATAAAATGCTCTCATGAGCTGTCTGCATAAATGCCAGCGGTAAAGAACTTGTGGCTTTGCGATTTGTTTATTTATTTATTTATTTAGGGCTTCTAAAGAAGTTATTCACAGATGTCTCCTTAGGAACATGATATAGGCTGTCTCTACATGGGCATGACTAAATGCAATCAGAAAATCAACTCACTTGTTGGAGAGCAGGCACACCCACAAAGTTATTTTAGCTTCTCTGTTATTCCCTCTCTAGCAGAACAGCCTCCACACTCTTCTTTTCTCTGGCCATCTCTTCTGTGACTCTGTACATGCTGATGCTACAAATGAGGCTGTGTGTTTCCTTTTAAACAAATGGATGCTCAGGGTATTGACATGTCCTAGCCAGCAAGCAGTAGGGCGATGTTTCTATACTCAGTAATTTACTCTAATGGGTCTCGGTTCATTGGTTAACCAGTATTTCAAGCCTGTCCTTTCTTGCTATTCAATTTAGCTATCTTCCCCCGCACAGAGATCGTTTTTTGTTTCCAAACGTTAGAAATTGA